CCCCCTCCCGACACACACACCCCAGCCTCCTTTGTCTCGTCCCCCTCCATCAAGTGCTGGGTGTTGTCAACATAACATTTTTTGTTTTCTGATTTAGCGGGTAGTTAAAAATGAAGGTAAGATGAATAAACCAATGACAGAAAATAAAATAAATTGTAAAGTAGCATACCATTTTTTCTTACAACAGCGGAGCCTTACGGGATTTAGCTCTAGCAAAACTGTCAATTATTGGTCCGTAGTCCAATTTTCGCGCTAGACTGGCCTCTATGGCCAAAATTCCAAGACTTGTGAGTCTGTGTTGATGCATTGTGGACCGCAAAATGTTTTTTACCTGAGAACGGGTACTGAAGGAACGTTCAGCTTGCGCAACTGTGACAGGCAAGGTGAAGAAGATTCTCAACATGATTACAACGTTTGGAAACAAAGCATCCAGTTTCAGGGAATGAAGTCTGTTCAGCAACTGAAGAAGAGGCAGGACATTTTCTCCAATGTTCGCTGAATGAATCACTTTCAAATGTTCCATCTCTTGCGCCAGGTCTGCTGATGCAGCCACTGCATATTCCGAGTGCAATTTGTTTGCAAGATCACGAATAACGCCGACTTCCTCTTGGAGATATTTCCACAAAACACTAAATAACGAATCGAGTTTTGACACTGCATTATACTTTGTCGTCAAATTTCCAAGAAGGCAGTCAATGGGGACATTAAAAACTTCTTGTTTGAATTTGTTCTCGGGATTTTGGTAGTCTGTTACATCTTCTGTCTCGTCTGCAAAAAGCTTCCTTTTCTTTTGACGTTTTGCTGTTTCGGCAAATGAATGCTAAATCTCATAGTTATCTGCTATTAATTTGGACTCACTCAAGATTGCGTCCCATTCATCTCGTAAGCTTTTCAGATCTTTAATCAGACTATTGCTATTTGCCACCTCAACGTCAAAAGTCGCATCTCGTGCTTGAAGCATTCTATTTCTGTGATCGATTGCTGTGAGGATTTTGAGCCAAACAGAAGCCATTATCACACATTCAAAATTGTCCACCCTTGTGGACTGGAGCTAAAAATGTCACACAGCTTCTGTATAGCTCCAAAGAAAGTTATGACTGTTGAACAGCTTTCTGCAGGATGCACACCACACACTTTCAAACCCCAACAGCAGCATGGAGAGTATGTGGCAAGTGAACACTGTCTTTAAAAAGTGAGCCTGTGCGCCATTATACAGACCACACATGTTGCTACCGTTGTTGTAGCCTTGGCCTCGGCAGTCTGTAATTGGAATGGGTTTTTTCATTCAGTGTATCAAGGATAATTTTAGCAATGTCTTCTCCTGTTTTCTTGTTACAATCTACACATTTCAGAAATCTCAAATCTACTTTGTAGACATTTGTATCACTGTCCAATTGAACATAACGCAAAATGAAAACAGTTTGTTTGACGTGTGAAGAGTCTGGGGTTGCATCAACGATAATGGAGTAATATTTCGTTTCCGCTCTTTCATTCAAAATCACGTCCGTCACTCTTGATGCACAACATTGGATGAATTCATTTTGGCTTTCTGGTGATA